GACTCATATTCGACTTTAAAGTTAAAATATGATAAGAAAAAGGTCCACAGACAGTAGAAGCCAGAGACTGGAGAGACCACAAAAGTTATGAGAATAAACTAACTATTATTGAGATATTATTGAGAAGAAACTTTAAATATGATTACTTTTCCTAACTTAAACTTTAATCTCATAGCATATGCAAAAAAAGAATAAAGACATGGGTGTGCCTTATACTCTGTTGTACAAAAGCAAATAAATCGTGGTAAAATACCACGAATCACATGTAGGTCGTTTAATTAGTTAATTCAACAAATATAAAACAAAGAAAGATAATAAAGTTTGGTCTCCCCGTCGGGGAATTGAACCCCGGTCTCCCGCGTGACAGGCGGGGATACTCACCACTATACTAACGAGGAAGGCACACTCCCGCCACCTGCAGTACCGGCTTTCACCTAAACAGAGCTAAACCATTTCCAACGGTAGTGAATGGGGAAAACTTTCATGCGTCACTTCCGGTGCCAACGAAAGTGACGCATGAAAGTTTTCCCCATTCACGCTGTTCTAAAACGGAGAGAGCCGGCTTTCTCCATTCATTCTGGATTACACACGCACTCGGTAAGTCTCCTCTGATAAACACAATGTTTTTGTGCCTGTTCTTTATGTTTCACTCCATAAATCTCTCATATTGTGCGTAGATCGTTCACACACGTCTGTAGTTTAAATCTCGAGTGTGTAGTGCGCTGTTTATGATTGTTTACCTCCGTGTCATGTGTTTGTTGCTGCTGCTGCTCGTAGATCTCTCTGTTTGGATCAATATTGTAAAGAAAACACTTTCTCTGCGTTGTCAAAAAATCTGTATTCACTGTATTCACTGTATACATTAATGCAGTTTGTTTACGTCTGGTTGTAGTAGTATTTCCAGCGCTAGTTAACGCGGTGTTTTGGGATGTACACACGTGAGCTAAAGCACACTGTATACAGATCAAATGCACTTTTAATAAGTTTAATGCACACAGTTGTTGTAACAGGCTGTGTATAAGTGCTGCTGTGAGTTTGGCTCAGTGTTGTCACTGTGCTCTTTCTCTGTTCACTTACTATTGTCTCATAAACGTGATTTAAGGCTAATAATGTGTGACAGGCATAGTACTGTTAGTCACATGATGCCAAAATAAGTGTATAATACAGTTTGCTCCATCTGTTGTACTGTAGTGTACAGTATGCTTATTGTTGATGTGTGTACTATCTATATGTATTTCACATTTCTATAGTTCAGCAACACATTGAGTTGAAAATGAATTATATGCAGTTAGTTTACGACAATGTATTAGTGTTTTACCAGTTCATATTTTCCTTCTATAACTGTACTTACTGTATCCCAGAGCCTCATGCTGCTAATGTCCAGATGTAAACATACAACTGTATATGTCTTCTCTAGATTATACAGGATTCATGCTTCTTAATTATTTTATTCTTTATTATGCTAAAGATATATACATTATACATACTTCTCTATCATGTTATAGCTAGATATTTTATGATCTTTTTTTGTTGTTGCAGACAATATGAAGACATTTTCATTCTTTCCTGGCCGCGTCACTGTGATTTTTCACAAGGGCCCACGTGGATTCCTGCTGCAGGACCCTTCGGAGGAGGCGAGGAAGATCAGGGACGACCCGTCCATGTCGGAGTGCGGTGCTCCTCTGAGGGAGGAGGTGGTGAGGGAGAACGCCCTCACTCTGGTGCGAGTGAGAGGAGGTGATGCCTCAGACAAGGCTGAAGTGCTGGGGGAGTACATCGCTCACAGCAGGCAGTAAGACCAGCACAGCGCCTGCTGTCACCATGCCCCCTGCAGCAGTGAACCCCGCTCCTCCTGCTCAGACTCATGTCACCGCTGTCTGAGGAGGCCATAGAGAAGGTTTTGCAGCGGATCTTGGAAAAGCAGCAGCAGCCTCCAGCAAATAAACCCCACACAAAGAAATGCCTGTCTTGTGGCCAGCCAAAATCCAAATATGAGGGCGATGGCAGCTCCATCCACGAGTTTTACCAGCAGGGTCCTACCAGGTATTTCTACTGCTGCCACGCAGCGGAGAGTGAATGAGCGGCAGGAGAAGAAAAGGAAGAGAGATGAGTCTCCTGCCACTGGGAGAAAGTGCGGGTTCTGCAAACTGCAGCTGAAGCAGGGACCAAACAATCCTCACATTCATACACAATTCCCTGGTCTGTCAGGGAAATACATCTACTGCCCTGCCAAAGTATTCTCCCTGTACAAGGACCAGGGGATGGAGACGCAGATGTTCCAGCAGTCTCCTTTTTATGACCGGGAGAGGGAAAGGTGTAAATAAATGAGCTATCTGCTGTCCATTGGTGCTATTGTATATAGTTACTATATTATACCTGTCTGTTCATAAATGTTTATAAATATTCTAATTATTATGTAAATATATACTTAATATTGATTACAAATGAAATTATATAATTAGATATAAAGTCTGCATCTACAGTTCTGTATAGTCAGCTCTCAGCCGTCACAGTCACAGGGCTCATCACACAAATACTAGTTTAAGAAGATAAAGATAGCATGTTGTTGTTTTTCTTCTAAGTGTATTTCTTAAATTTTTAAATATCTATTTTTTCATCTGTTCACAATAAATATATTAAAATGTCATACATTATTGAAGTCTTTCTTTTTATTGATCATATTTCAGGGCAAACAACAGTAGTATTTAACAAAACAATCTGTATAGAAAATAGAGTTTCAGTTCAGTGTCAGTGGGATCAAAGCAGCTATTGTTGAACTTGTTCAAAGCACCCCCTGCAGAGTTCTCACCTCTGGGATATTCCAGGTGTGTTTGTCTAAATCCCTTGATCAATACTTTTCCCATCCTGAGGAGGTGTGACCTTTAACCTGTGTGCGAGGCCTTTGGGGATAAGCCTCTGTGGTCTTCAAACACTCACACTTTGTGCAGGTCAAAAGGTTTCATGACATTGCTGTTAATATTACTGTCAATTCACTGATCATTTCAAGTGTTACATTTCAAAGAAGCTCTCTAATAGTTACATTTATGTACTTGAAAGGTAATGTGGCTGTTATTAAGGTCAAAATGAGATCCAGTTATTAACTTTAAACTTTTAAATAAGTTTGATTTATTTGGGGTGAGACGGGTTTCGAACTCGCGTCTGTAAATATCCCTGCATTTTGATTGGTTGGACTTCATCACAAAGGCACGTGGCTGACAGGCTCATTCTGATTGGCTGGCACGATATGCCCACTATACGCGGCTGGCCCCCTTTTGACAGGCGGGGATACTCACCACTATACTAACGAGGAAGGCACACTCCCGCCACCTGCAGTACCGGCTTTCACCAGTGCATTGAAGTCAATGTGGAGTGGCGCTGTTGCGCAATAGCAGCCGGTTTAACATGGAGTCTGTCTCCCTCTGGCGGCCACATGAAGCAAGAGAAAGTCACTCACCTTTAAATGTTTTTCAGTTTAAGTATTTAACAAAGCGTTGACCGCGGGAGATAAGACAATGACCTTCAGAGAGCAACAGTTTACATTCAGATAAAACATTAAACCACAGCAAAGGCCTGTGTAGCACTTTTGGTCACATAATTAGGAGCCGCGAGGATTTCCAATTTACACGTTTTCGCCGTGACACGACATCACCACGCACTTTCGCCTGAACACATCTTCATAATGGATTGTAAAACATTCTCTAGCTTTTGAATGACATAATTAGAAAATACAACTATTCAAACTGTATTTATCACCTGTAACGCACGAGGAACGGCATCTCCACGCATCCTCGCCTGAGCCCTCTTCAATTAGGACTAGGGCTGGGATAAACGATTATTTTTTAAACGATTAATCTAGCGATTATTTTTTCGATGCATCGATTAATCTAACGATTATTTTTTTCGCTTCGATTCGATTTTGATTCGATTCGATTCTCGATTATCTCCCCATTAATTGACTAATATTGATGTATACATGTTGATTTAAATATTTTAATGAAAAAAACATGAATTCCTTTACAAAAAATATGTATTGCTTGCTCTTAAAATTAAAAAATAAGACATTCTTAGAGGTAGCATAAAACTTTAAAGCCTTGAAAACACAGCTTACTGAAAAAAGTGCATCTTATCATTCTTGAAACAAACATTTGATGCTGATGACACAGGACGAGTCATCAGCCTACGTCAGCAGCTGCGGACTGCTATGAAAACATTAGCTTTGTGGTTTCACAGGCGCAGTTGACTGCTTAAACTAAACTTTGCACGAAACTTTGACTCTTAAAACCCACATGTGACAAAACGGAACCATCAACATCTCGCCTCAAATTGCATTAAAAGTGACATTCGTGTCTGAATTTGTTCGTATTTTAACTTTTAAAGAAATTCACGGTCCGCCATCTTGGTTTGCTTCGGCTGCCGTGAGACGCGCATGCGCAGGTTTGCATTACATCATAAACAGCTGAGGCTGTGCATCTCTTCAAGGCAGTGTATCTTGGCGTTACACCGGCTTGCACTTCTCTAACACGGCACTTGCATTGCTACCGCTCGCCGCCATCTTTGTTTTGTGTGTGACGCACCGACGCGCATATTATACGTCGGTGTATTTTTTGCGTCAACGTCACCGATTACGTCGACGCGTTGTCCCAGCCCTAATTAGGAACAAGCTGCCTGTGCCTGCCTGTGCCTGCCTGCGGGGTCCCTGGTGTCTCCTGACTAAAATAAGACCATTCTTGTCCTTGTACACTTTCAAGTTAAAATAAAACACGAGGTGGGTGTTTATATTGTGTCAGTGTTAAATTACTGCGTTATTATCACACATGAGTCATCTCTGGTCCGGCATATCTCACCTCGGTCTTCACTCACCTCGGTCTTCACTCTCACCTCCGGCTTCACTCTCACCTCTGTCTTCACTCTCACCTCCGTCTTCACTCTCACCTCGGTCTTCACTCTCACCTCGGTCTTCACTCTCACCTCCGTCTTCACTCTCACCTCGGTCTTCACTCTCACCTCTCGGTCTTCACTCTCACCTCCGGCTTCACTCTCACCTCGGTCTTCACTCTCACCTCGGTCTTCACTCTCACCTCGGTCTTCACTCTCACCTCGGTCTTCACTCTCACCTCCGTCTTCACTCTCACCTCCGTCTTCACTCTCACCTCGGTCTTCACTCTCACCTCCGTCTTCACTCTCACCTCCGTCTTCACTCTCACCTCGGTCTTCACTCTCACCTCCGTCTTCACTCTCACCTCGGTCTTCACTCTCACCTCCGTCTTCACTCTCACCTCCGGCTTCACTCTCACCTCCGGCTTCACTCTCACCTCCGGCTTCACTCTCACCTCGGTCTTCACTCTCACCTCCGGCTTCACTCTCACCTCGGTCTTCACTCTCACCTCCGTCTTCACTCTCACCTCCGTCTTCACTCTCACCTGGGTCTTCACTCTCACCTCCGTCTGCACTCTCACCTCCGTCTTCACTCTCACCTCGGTCTTCACTCTCACCTCGGTCTTCACTCTCACCTCGGTCTTCACTCTCACCTCGGTCTTCACTCTCACCTCGGTCTTCACTCTCACCTCCGGCTTCACTCTCACCTCCGTCTTCACTCTCACCTCGGTCTTCACTCTCACCTCCGTCTTCACTCTCACCTCGGTCTTCACTCTCACCTCGGTCTTCACTCTCACCTCGGCCTTCACTCTCACCTCCGTCTTCACTCTCACCTCGGTCTTCACTCTCACCTCGGTCTTCACTTTCACCTCCGTCTTCACTCTCACCTCCGGCTTCACTCTCACCTCCGTCTTCACTCTCACCTCCGGCTTCACTCTCACCTCGGTCTTCACTCTCACCTCGGTCTTCACTCTCACCTCGGTCTTCACTCTCACCTCCGTCTTCACTCTCACCTCTCGGTCTTCACCTTGACCCTGAGGCAGACATAGGCACAGGTGGCAGTCAGACCGTGTTCAGTACCAGCCCCGTGCGTTTGGACCATAAACTGTACCATAGATGGTTTTGCTGGTGCGTCTCGCGGGGTTTGTGGGCTCCCGTCACGTGTGCGGAGGATTCTCACTGAACTCTCATCACACTCAGTATCTTCGGTTATACGTCCATTATTTGCGTTGGTGACGGTGTGAGTCTATAAATCCAAAAAAGATTCCTCAATATACATCAAAATAGTATTGTGTAAGAATAATAACCTACGCACTCAGTTCAAATGCAGGTTCAAGGCCTGTAAATTCACTCTTTTTAATGCACTGTGATTATTTATGATTATAATACGCTCATATAAACTGGTGAGAAAGGTCTGCAGATGCACGGAACGAGTCACATGTGTTTTTATGGAAAATGTGATGAAAAGGAAAGAGAAAACACATATTTACTCAGGTGCCATGTTATGTTTTGACCACATGGTGTCGCCACTGCTCCGTGAGAGCTGGGGTGATTTTTGTCTTCGTCGTTGACACATTTTGTTTGTTTCAGCAGAAAGAGTCGTGTAAAAACATATTTCAACATGCTGACTTTGTCTTAGTAGGAAACATGTTATCTGTGTGCAAAAAAGAGCCCTGTGAGTCACTATTTGACAGTTCAGGCTCAGAGAGACCAGAGAGAGAGCACACTGTAAACCAGAAGTTGAGAATACTAATGTTTCTTAAGGAAACTCGTTCCCTCAGTAAAGATTAGTTTTATAAATAGCATAAACATAACAAAAGTTCATTAAACACAGTCTTTATTAACACTCATTAGCTCACTAGACTAACTTACACATGGTTTGTACTTATCCGTTTTAGTTTCATAAATGCCATGAACATAACGATACAGGCTCATTCGACAGTCATATATTAGTCTTAAGGTCTTGAACTCTAAAGAACTCAGATTGAGAAGCCAAAATACTTACAACTCAATTAGAGCTTAGTTTCATCCACGTACATCATGAAAGCACAGCGACCTTTATTTAGTATTTGAACATTCTGAAAAGATGACCCGGGAGTATAGCTTTACTTTGGCTTGGCTCTGTCAATTACGGTTGGTAAACATAAAAAACAATTACTTATTTGGTCAAATTAGTTTATTCAAAATGTTGCTCAAGTATCTTGCTTCATATTCACTCTCAAATGTAGAATTTATCTCCGCAATGCATTCTGGGTACCGTCACTGCTTCGCCCAATACATTTGTTTTCTATCAACACAATATATTTGTTTTGTCTTTTTTTTGTCTTACAAAAGAAATACTTTTACTCAAAGCAATAAAATCAGTATTGTACAATATTATACAGTACTTATGTGTCAACTAAAAATATACAATAATGAAAAATGAAGTATTTAGTAACTACTTAAAATATTGTACATAAAAGTTTGGTCTGATTCACTTCTTACAGTGCAGGTACTTCTTGTTCTATTCATTACGGAGACCCTTCTTCTTCATGTCACAATTGTGCAAAATAAAAGAGTAACGGAACAGGAAGTATTCACCCTCAGTCTCAGGTCAGAGGAACTAACACAGCCACATTCTCCAACAACAGTTTGTATTATTGATCGTTATGGTCAAAGAAGATGCATTTTTAAACATTTACCTGTGAAGAGATTTGAGTGTTTAGCGGTCCAGTTATACATTTTCATTTTATTAATTAGATTTTTGTCATTTTGTTTCTAACTGATCAGCAGATCCATTGAATCAGAGCGTTGTCAGAGTATAAACTAAAGAAAGGCCAAAGGGGTACGTTCGACAAAAGGCTGGGAACCACTGCATTAGTGTACAAACAAATACTTTTTCTTACGAGCTGTGACCAACAGATTACAAACAGGCTTTCCAGAGAAACTTGTACAAAAGTAGTGCATTTTTGAAGCTGCCAACATCAGAACAGAACTGTAACATGGGTCTTTCATTTTACATTTAGTGAGGACGGTGCGTGATCTGCAGAGTGAGTGACGTGATGACGTAGGCCACATTTTAAAAATAGACCCCGCCCCTCTGGTTAATGTTACCTTGTTTAGTAAGTATTGCTTAAAATTATTTCAAACTGGCGTCATGCAAAAGTAGTATAAACAGCTCGTAAAGATTAGTAGCCACAACAATTTTGACAAAAACATATGAGACTAAGCAATGACAACTAAACACTTTGAGCTTGAACAAAATCCGGGTTTACAGTGCAGGACTGAACCAGGACTAAACCAGTTCAAACGCAGCCCGCTGTCCTTCACCCAGAAGCAGCGGACCACAGTCTCTCCTCCACATCAGTCCCTGTCTTGATCCCAGGGGTCCGCCTCTCTGGTCTCTGGTAGTGATTAAAGAAGCTCCTGGTGCTGCGTGTGAAACCAGGTGCCTTCAGTCCGGGTGATTTCGGTTCAAAAGGTCGGATCCGGCGCACCTGTCCTGAGAACAGGGCTGGATTAGGACAAAAAAACAGCCTGGGCATTTTTGCCTTCCTGGCGGCCCAGGCATGTTTTTTCAACATGCCTGGGCAACTCAAAAGGTTCAAAGAGCCATATTTGACATTAAAAAAATTAAAAAAACATCTGTCTGGAGCCGCAAAAAACTAACAGCTTTGTATAAGGCTTATATGAAGGTAACAGGCTGCAAGCTGTATTAGCTGTATTAGCATAGTATCTTAACTCTGCCACCCATTTTGGATGATTTCACTGATTCTCAAAAACCACGGAATATTATCTCCTAAAGCGTAGCGCACATCGACAACTGGAGACAACTAGTTGAAGGCGGCTTCTGGCGACTGAGAGTAGATGATGGAGATGATGGAGATGATCAGTTGAAATCGGTCGATGTGAGCGCTCTTACAACTGGAGATAAACAGTCCATCTCCGGATTCAGTCAGTTGCCCGTGTTCTACTTTTCGGCAACTAGTTGTCCTCAGATCCAGAGATATGACCCGATGTGTGCGCTCCAACAACATGTGTGTATTGTGTGTATTGCGCCCTCTACAGTTATGTCAGAAAACACACTGTAGTTGAGGCCAGTTGCTGTCGATGTACGCACTGTTATTCCCCAGACTGGTCTGATACAGGAGTCGCCTGTTATTCCCCAGACTGGTCTGATACAGGAGTTACCTGTTATTCCCCAGACTGGTCTGATACAGGAGTCGCCTGTTATTCCCCAGACTGGTCTGATACAGGAGTTACCTGTTATTCCCCAGACTGGCCTGATACAGGAGTTACCTGTTCTTCCCCAGACTGGCCTGATACAGGAGTCGCCTGTTATTCCCCAGACTGGTCTGATACAGGGGTCGCCTGTTATTCCCCAGACTGGCCTGATACAGGAGTTGCTGTTATTCCCCAGACTGGCCTGATACAGGAGTCGCCTGTTATTCCCCAGACTGGCCTGATACAGGAGTCGCCTGTTATTCCCCAGACTGGTCTGATACAGGAGTTACCTGTTATTCCCCAGACTGGTCTGATACAGGAGTCGCCTGTTATTCCCCAGACTGGTCTGATACAGGAGTTACCTGTTATTCCCCAGACTGGCCTGATACAGGAGTTACCTGTTCTTCCCCAGACTGGCCTGATACAGGAGTCGCCTGTTATTCCCCAGACTGGTCTGATACAGGGGTCGCCTGTTATTCCCCAGACTGGCCTGATACAGGAGTTGCTGTTATTCCCCAGACTGGCCTGATACAGGAGTCGCCTGTTATTCCCCAGACTGGCCTGATACAGGAGTCGCCTGTTATTCCGCAGACTGGCCTGATACAGGAGTCGCCTGTTATTCCCCAGACTGGTCTGATACAGGAGTTACCTGTTCTTCCCCAGACTGGTCTGATACAGGAGTTACCTGTTATTCCCCAGACTGGCCTGATACAGGAGTTACCTGTTATTCCCCAGACTGGCCTGATACAGGAGTCGCCTGTTATTCCCCAGACTGGCCTGATACAGGAGTCGCCTGTTATTCCCCAGACTGGCCTGATACAGGAGTCGCCTGTTATTCCGCAGACTGGCCTGATACAGGAGTCGCCTGTTATTCCCCAGACTGGTCTGATACAGGAGTTACCTGTTCTTCCCCAGACTGGTCTGATACAGGAGTTACCTGTTATTCCCCAGACTGGCCTGATACAGGAGTTACCTGTTATTCCCCAGACTGGCCTGATACAGGAGTCGCCTGTTATTCCCCAGACTGGTCTGATACAGGAGTTGCCTGTTATTCCCCAGACTGGCCTGATACAGGAGTCGCCTGTTATTCCCCAGACTGGCCTGATACAGGAGTCGCCTGTTATTCCCCAGACTGGCCTGATACAGGAGTCGCCTGTTATTCCCCAGACTGGCCTGATACAGGAGTCGCCTGTTATTCCCCAGACTGGCCTGATACAGGAGTCGCCTGTTATTCCCCAGACTGGTCTGATACAGGAGTTACCTGTTATTCCCCAGACTGGCCTGATACAGGAGTCGCCTGTTATTCCCCAGACTGGCCTGATACAGGAGTCGCCTGTTATTCCCCAGACTGGCCTGATACAGGAGTCGCCTGTTATTCCCCAGACTGGCCTGATACAGGAGTCGCCTGTTATTCCCCAGACTGGTCTGATACAGGAGTTGCCTGTTATTCCCCAGACTGGCCTGATACAGGAGTCGCCTGTTATTCCCCAGACTGGTCTGATACAGGAGTTGCCTGTTATTCCCCAGACTGGTCTGATACAGGAGTTACCTGTTCTTCCCCAGACTGGTCTGATACAGGAGTTGCCTGTTATTCCCCAGACTGGTCTGATACAGGAGTTGCCTGTTATTCCCCAGACTGGCCTGATACAGGAGTCGCCTGTTATTCCCCAGACTGGCCTGATACAGGAGTCGCCTGTTATTCCGCAGACTGGCCTGATACAGGAGTCGCCTGTTATTCCCCAGACTGGCCTGATACAGGAGTCGCCTGTTATTCCCCAGACTGGTCTGATACAGGAGTTACCTGTTCTTCCCCAGACTGGTCTGATACAGGAGTTGCCTGTTATTCCCCAAACTGGCCTGATACAGGAGTCGCCTGTTATTCCCCAGACTGGCCTGATACAGGAGTCGCCT